TGAGAGCTAATACAAATCCCCTTGTTTATAAACACTGCAACATTCCCTAAGTCGATTTGAGTAGATGACGGGCTAATGGCATTTGCCAGAGCAGATGCAAAAAAAAAACAATACATAGCCCAATATGCAGATTTGGAATCATACATGCAACGCAGGCACAGTTTACAAACAGTAATTGGGTTTGACATTTAAGAGGCCCTGAGATTTATAATATCCTACATAGTATTAAAGACCAAAGAGGAACTCAAGCCTTAAAGTGCAATAGGTCTTCCATGTGAACTCACAAAGACACCTCCAAACAGACACATTAAAGCTATTAAGTCATGCCTGCAGTGTTTCTTAATTGCACGGGTTCAGGTCAGGTTCAAAAGAATTACCCCTAAACACTGTTAATGTTCCACGGCTATTAGCAGCTTCATGTTTAGCAGGGTTTAGTTCCAGAAAAGGGAAGGTTCCATCCTCCCCAGGCTGTGGTGGGTGTTCAAACAGAAACTTTTGGAAGTAAGGGTGAGGTTTGGTTCAGCCTTGCAGCTCCGAGCCACTCTCCAACACTGGAGAGAGATACTGAAAAGTTCCTTCCACAGACGCTTTTAGCTCATGTTTTCACGCTCTTAGTTCATGCAGCAGTTCTGCTCTCCCCCAGCCGACAGTTTCTTGCTCTCTAGAGTGTTGTGGGTTCATACCGGGTTGTGTATGGAGAGATCTCCCAAAATAGATGGAACGAAAACCAAAACAAAGCAGCTATGGACGACCATATGGTACAAATGTCCAGGAGCACACAAACATCTGACTAAATGCACATGGTATAATTTACCTACTACCTATTTTGTTCTGTTGTTGTCATACTCTCCTCTGAGTCTCTCCATCGTCCATCTTATATTGACTTACTCCATTTATTCTTTACTTTATGAAAAGTGTCAAGTAGGCTTGGCACCAAAGGGGTTTCAGCCTTATTGCTGCACTGCGATGCCTGCTGAGCGCTTTGTGTGTGATCAAGACAGCAAGGGATTTTGTGTGTGTGTGTGTGTGTGTGTGTGTGTGTGTTAGTGTGCACTCCCACATCTGTGTTCCCCTCTTAACTGCAAGTTCAGCAGCAAACTCTTAAGAGCATATGAGGTCTTCCTAAGTGCAGAAAAAATGTCAAATTAATTCACACACAGGAACACACTTGACAAGTGTTGCCTGAATGTGTGTGTACACTGTGCACACAACAAACACCTATAAATATACACATAAACACATTCAGATACTGATACATACTGTACTGCACCTATGCTGCATTAGTACATTGTGTAAGATAAAACTTTATTGATCTGCAGCCATGAAATTCTACTGTGGCAGCAACACAAGAAACAGCCCAAAAGAGGCAGGTTAAGATAAAATCAGGATTTAAAAGCTGTATGAAATATCACCTTTAAATGGGATAGGCATAAAGAACATGCAGCAGGGTACATAAGAAGATGTTGAGAGCAATAGAAAGGGCAAGAGGAGGGGTGTAAATGAATGGGATGGGGCGTTATCCAGCTTTATGGGTCAGATCGATCAGTAAGTGGATAGATTGGTTACACCCAACTTTGTGTGCGTGTCAGAAAGCTTTAATACTGCACTGCTCGAGCTGCAAATGATATCTGCTCCCTAATAGAGGAAGTGCAGGAGATTAAGGGGAGAGAGAGATGCCAAACTTGTAGGAGAAAGATTTCAGGGATGTAAAAAATGATATGAAGAGGTGAAGTAGCAAGGAAGAGGTAAGAGAAAAATGAAGGCACGGGAAAAAATAAAAATCAAGACATAAAGCACATGGGGAGGAAGGATGGGGCAGAGAGTTTGATGAATGGAGGAGGTGAGGGAGGAAAGGAAAAGCAAGGAGGAAAGTCTAGGAGACATACAGAGCACAACAGAGGGAGCAAAATCTGTATGTGTGTGTGTGACAAAAAATCTGAAGCAGAAAAAGAAGGAGATACGGAGGGCAACAGACTCAGCAAGCGATAGAGAGACAAGACAAAAGACAGGAGGCGGAGGAGAGGAAAAAGGAGAGACGGTGGCATGGTAGAGCGGTGACTGATAACATTGTCGTACTGAGGTTGCCTCAAGGGCAGACATGATGGAGAGAAAGAAAGAGAGGGAATGAGACATAAAGAAAGAAAATGCGGAAATTTACAGAGCAGCCAGAGGCGCACAGGTTTATAAGATGGAAAGTGAGCAAGGATGGAGAGACAGGACTGAGAGAGGTAGAAAACACAAGGAGGAGCACTGCAGTGAGGGAGAACGGATGGCGAGGAAACAAAGAATCTTTAGTCACAGGAAGAAGAGAGGTAGCTAAGTGCAGTGCTGTAAGGGGAGGGCGTAGGTGTGGTTTGGCGTGACTCAAGCAGAAGGATGTGAAGGCATCACAGGAGAAAGGAGGTGAAGATTAAGGATAAGGTGAAAGAAAATCAGCTATGGATGAGGAGAGTAGATTATTAGGAAATTGAGAAAGCAGTGAGAGGGGAAAATATATGAAAGTGAGGAGTGGAGCAAGCATAAAGGTCGAATGAAGGAGTGGAGCGCAACAGGGGAGTGCGTAAATGTATTGACATTCAGCGTGCTGCGGGTAGAGTGAGCTGTCTAAGCAACATTAGCAAAGTACGGAGGTAAGCTGGGGGAGCCAGGACTGATGTACCGTTCTCGCTCTAGAACAACAGTTGATGCGAGGACTTTTCAGAGACCTGCCCGGAATAGACATATATTTTTTTTAGGTGGCAATTTTACATTGAGGTATGCACGAACTTCCAACATTGGCTGTCCTGACTGCAGTCTTCTTGACTTAGCTGTCGTACCACAACCCCACTGCAGCTAAGCTATTTTTTAAATTTTTGAAACAAATGCCACCAGAGTGTTGTCATTCGGTTGGATTGAAATGATTGGTTGTGTTTCTTTACAGTCCAGTGAGTGCCACAGACACCAGCTTTTTTTCCAGACAACTTTATTTATTGATGGCTGTCGGAATGTGAAGAGGGTTTCAACAAATAAGATATTTCAGAAATAACTTGCCATTCTTAGCTTTTAAAGGTACAGTGTGTAGAATTTTGTGATATCTAGTGTTGAAATTGCATGTTGCAGCTGAACACCCCTCACCTCACCCTCTCCTTCCAAACATGAAAAAGAACCTGTGGTAGCCTTAAATTGTCATAAAAACTCAAAAAGTGTTTAGTTTGTTCAGTCTGGACTAATGTAAAAAACATGGCTGCCTCCGTAGAGAGGACCCCCTTGATGTAAATATAAAGTATTTAAATATAAAGGGCCTTTTCTGGGGTAAAAAAACCTTTAATTTCATACAATTTAGATGAAGAGAACTAGTGAAAACATCATGAGAATGATTCTACATTAAATTTCTGCCAAAAGTTCCCTTTCCCCTAAATCTTACACACTGGACCTTTAAGTATTTGAGGTTCAGTAAGAATAAGAAAAAGCTGTGGGTTCAGACATTGTTGCCTAAAGCTGCCATGAATGGACTTGCACCTGTGTTTCTGTCCACAAGATCAAATTAAACTGCATTTCTCTCCTTAACTAATAGCCCATTGGTTTTATGTTCCACACAAACATCCTGTTTCAAAGCGGAAATGCATGACATTAAGGAATTAACGGTTCAATTCACTGGAGCCGTAAATAATCCATATATAATCTGTTCCCGTCATCTCAGGACTGATAAAGCTTATTTCCATCCTTCTCTTGGATTTAACTGTGAGAGCATGTAGGAGCCAGAGATAAAATGTATCATCACTTCAAGCGCAGGGTTTCTTTATCTCTTCATTGAAGACTGAAGAGTTCAAAAACGGGACAGTGTAGCCCGGACTAATATCGAACTCACAATTTGGAAGTAGACCAATGCGAATTGAGTAGTGAGTAGGCGAATGCAGAATGGCACTGGAAATTCCTGTGCTTTAAAATAGACACTTCTTCAATGTCTGAATCAGAAGCTGAAGCCGCTTCCGGTTTCACACAGACAGAGGAAATCCCGAGTTTACTATGGACAAAATTGAGAGATCAGTTAGCTTCAACCTGAAAAGTCAGCATGATATAAGTTTAGGTATAGTTGTTACTCAGAGTATGAGGCTGCACACATCACATATCATTTTATTATCACCAGGGCTCATGCCACAACTTCACTATCACAAGTCTCCAGACTGCTCCACATAAAAAAACACCTGTCTTTCTCTGACGACGTCGTTTCTCTGCATCTCGTCTCCTCACTCTTGTCACCGCAGCTCTGACTGTTATCAACACCCCCGTCACTCTCTGTATCTGGGTTACAGTTGCTATGACAACTATTATGAATGCCAATCAGTGGCAGTGACTCATCTCTATACCTGGTTGCAGCTGTGGCTGTATTTAGGGATGTACGTGTCACAAAGCCTCTGTTTACTGGGAGATTTCGGGCATGTCTGAGATTACAATGGGACCCTTCTACATGTTGTGCTCCGCTAAGCCTACCGAGACCTACATTGCCTGACTTGAGTCTTGCTGTGGAATCATGGCTGACAAGCTGGTGACCCAATTTGAAACCCTGACACACACAGTCTTAAGGAAGGGTCCTATGATATAACACAAATCCGCTCTTACAGGTTTCTAGGTAACAGTTACTATGGGGACTGGCTGTTTTCAGTCTTTTGGGATGTTGTTGCTAGGCAATGGGATGTGATGGTGAAGAGGCCACTTGTGCTTAAAGTGTGATAAGAGTATGTAAGACTTACAGCATGAGAGCCTGTGCTGCAGGGACATGGACAATTTTTCAATATGGATTTTTCATGCTATGAAGCACCAAATGGGCATTAGTGCAGAGTGGTGCTCATTTAAGAGAAGGCCTTGGTGCACAAGTTTGCATGTGTGCGGAGCAGGTTCTGGTTTCAGCTCTGACTAGCCAGAGTAGGTGGAAGGCAGGAAACCAGACACAAAAACACAGACATCTCTTAGAGAACAATGTCTGACTGATTTTTCTCTTTTTCTCTCGTTCTCATCTCCAGGTCTGTGGATAGCCAGGCGTTCTACCATGCCTGTCCCCCCACCCCTCAATCCCTGCAGACAAACACACCTGCCCCACTCACACACCCACGCTGAACAAAGGGCAGAGCGTTCCACCTTTCCTTCTCTCCTTCCTCCATTCAACCTCTCTTTCTCTCTTCTCCTCCCTCTACTCATCTCATCTTTGCCCTACTCATCCCGCCTCCTCCACTGCGCTTGCCCCAGGACGACGAAAAGAACCCTTCTCAGCTCGGTCCCTTTCCCGGCGTTTCACTGGCTGACTCTAGTCACATGCTGCCTGTTGCCGTCTTTGATTGGAGCAGGGGAGACGTGGGGCGTGGTCTCGGCCTGTCCCTTCCACTGCGTGTGTCGAAACCTCTCGGAGTCGCTCAGCACGCTCTGTGCCGACAAGGGCCTCCTGTTTGTCCCGCCGCACGTTGACCGGCGCACCGTCGAGCTGCGACTGGCTGACAACTTCATCACAGAGGTGGGCGGGAACGACTTTGTCAACATGAGCGGCTTGGTTGATTTGACACTGTCGAGGAACACCATCCACCTGATTCGACCGATGGCCTTTGCGGACCTGGAGAGTTTGCGTTCCCTGCACCTCGATGGTAAGCTGGAGAAGTAATTGCGTTCTAGGATCATTGGACTCCTGAACATAACTACGTGAATGAATTCAACTGGCAAAAATTGCAACAGAAATAAAATGCTGAATCATTTTATTTGTATTTGTGCATCTAGGTAATCGCTTGACCATACTGGGACCCAGGGACCTCTCAGGTTTGGGTAACCTGCAACATTTAATCATCAACAACAACCAGCTGATTAAAGTCTCTGTCCAGGCTTTTGATGACTTCTTGCTCACACTGGAGGACCTCGACATGTCCTACAATAACCTCCGGAGGTAAGCCCTGCGCCTGTGTCGTGATCAGCAACACACTTTTGCATCGACCGTTCACTCATCCTAATCTGTTCTGCTTTGTGAAATGGAAACTAATTTTAATACTCCTGAGTTTCCTGTGCTTAGGTCTGAATCTCTAGGGTATGCGGCGGGAGCACAGCTCAGCTCCCAAAATTTCAAGGCACAGTGGAAATGTCTTGCAAGAGTCAGCAAACACAATAAAGAGAAACTTGCTCAAACTGCTGAGGCTGTGAGAAGACGACTTAGAGTTCAAGAAACTGAGAGTGACTCAGTTTGGATGAGGCCCTAATTTTCTTTGACTTTGTTTTTGTTGAGATTTGATGAGGGCTCACCTAAGCTCACTCCACTGACACACTGGAGTGTATCACCATAGCTCTTCTATTTCGCTCATACTCTCACTGTGTAAAATTCCTCTCGTCTCAATCTATGACAATGAAGACACTTAATAACTCAGAACAATGAGTATATTCTCCATCAATGTCCAATTCTCCCCTGCATAGAGTCCCATTGCGTTGATAAATTCAGCAGCTTTTGGCTGTCAGCTCTCATTAAAATGTTTCATTTGTCTCCTCCACAGGAGCTCTCTGGCCTCTCTCCAACCTCCACTCCACCATAAGAAAAGGAGTTTAATGATACATACATTAAAAACTCCTGTTTGCCCTCTGTTATGCATTACTCAGTAGATTTGACAAAAGCAAGCCTGTATGATGGATTATTTCTTATCATTGTTAAAAAGGCTGAAAGTTAGAAACAGATTGTGTAGTATGAGAACTCCTCTGAAGCTCGGTCAGAGCTTATCCAGATGGGGAGGCCCGGCTTGTGTGATTTAATTGTTCGGAAAACTGAGGTGTGCCTGGCATTTCCTGCAGCTTAAATTTGTTAACAGAGATTTAGCAAAGTTTTACACGGCTACTTTTGAACCTAGTAACATGTGGTTAACTTTCTGGGACACTAGTGTTGAGCAATGGGGAATGCAGACGTATTTTAAATCAAAAAGGTTTTTTGACCTGATTTAAGCAAACTTTCCTCCTCTGCTCTGCATAAATCAGACTTGTGTATCCAGGCCTTATTTTAAGATGAATTTAATAATGTAATGAAAATTATTTTCCTCAAAGAAGCTGTGCTGCAATATTACACTTGACTCATCTCTCCTCACACACTTAATTCAACAGACATCTCTACTGTATATAAAAAGATACACACCATCTGCTCTTGGTTAATTTAAAGGAATGTCATAACTCCAAATGAACTCTAAAATCAATGAATAATGTGTGATCATGTGAAGTAGTGATTTCTCTGTGCTCAGTACAAATAACTACAGTGTCATTTAGATGGAGTGAAGTAAATGTGTACTCTGCCAAACATACACTGATGAAACTAATAATGTAAATTAATAATGTACATTTAACTATGACCCAAACAAATGTGATCAACCATCCTTTAATCCTGTTCACACTAAACATTAATTTGTTTTAAATAAGTGAATACCTCCCCAAATTAAGAATATACAATATTACATGCTCAGGAAATAGACTCAACTTTGATCTCATTGTGGTAAACTTGTAGTAGGTCCATTTCTTATACATTGGACAGCTACAAAAAGGACACTAACAGTTGCTAACTGTCTTCCAAGCTGCTAATACCTGATTTCTCTTCTCCTAAACAAGAACAGAGGTGTAATCTATGCACAAATGTATTAATTCCTTGAGTCTGTCACTAACGTTAATGTTCCTATGTTTTATTGCTATTAGGGTACCATGGGAGTCCATTCAGAACATGGCCAGTCTGCACACTTTGAACTTGGATCACAACCTGATAGACCACATAGCGGAAGGAGTCTTTGGAGAGCTGTACAAGCTTGCAAGACTGGATATGACCTCCAACAGGCTCCGCACCCTGCCCCCTGATCCATTCTTTGCAAGGTAGCTCTTCAGCTTTTATGCGTCCCTAAGAAGTGGCTGAGTGGAAATGTTATTTGGCAGATGACATCGCCACAGAGCCACCAAAGTGGAATTTAACAGGGGTGCTCTGGCACTGAAACACGGGTTGACAGCACTGGTGCACAGACTAACTGCTCCATTTTTACTCAGTCTTTTGAATATTTATTTAGCATTTCATTATCCCTGTGTACAGTATTCATGAACCCTGGGGAGCATAAAAGACGGCAGGGTATGGAGGTAGATATCAAGTTCCAGATTCTCATTTTAATTCCAACAAATCCCTCAAGCTGGGCGACCATATAGGTCCTGTCCCTACCTCCTGATATAACCGATGGGAACATCTCCTGACATAGTGCCTCTCCAGTTGTCATCATGTTATACCAGCAGACATGAGGGGTCTACCAGCAGTAGCATGGTGTACCTACAGTGTCATGCTATAATACAAAACAAGCAGTTAATCCCAAGGTTCATTTTAGGCGCAAAAACTACATGGTTACTACACTATACATACTACATTATGCAATTATTTTATTCTTAAGATGACTTTTAAATCTTTTTGACAGCGACTTAAATTTACAGCTGGAATCTGACTCAGCAAGTCCGAGAGTAATGCCAAATGTAAATCAGTTACATAGACTTTGAAGTTTAGAAAAAACAGCGTTCATCTAGAAATACAACCTAAATTTGCTGTCGTTGTTACGGCAACAACACTTCCAGTTCATCAAACTGGTGATCATGAAGGATATCCACAGTTCTGCTGTGTATTAGTTCAGTGAGTAGGACAATTCACAGTCAGAGCTCCAGTCAAGCTATTGATAGGCTTTGTTTTATGTACATGAAAACCGCTTAACCACTCAGACTCTAAGCCCACCAGAATTAATGAGCACTTGTAGCCGCAGAGGCTTCTGTTGCTCAGTAAAAGGTGAAATAGTACTGCTTTCCACTAAGCTGATGTGTTGCATGGTTTCTGACTTGTCTAGTGAATATATTTCAAGTTAAAAGCTTATAGTGGCACTATATGACAAACTGGGAACAGCTGGAATAAGAGAGATGTGTTTTTCTGTCGGCCTGCTGTCAGGAACAGGTTGAAATTTAAGGTCAAATTATCAGAAAACTACTTTCATAAATACTTTCTTAGTTTTGCACACGCCACAAAAAAACAGATAGCTTCCATGAGTAGCTTCTTAAGTATGCTGCTCTTTACTTCAGATTACTTTTGCTCTCAGTCTTGTTTTTTTTTTATTCGTCGCTGCAGAGAGCTTTATGAAAATACTTCCATTTAAATTTACCCACCTGTGCTTTTCTCACCATCTCCCTTTAATTTGATGCTCTCCAAGAATGTAGCTGAATTCACTGCAGGCAATATGTCAAATAATATATCCCATATATACTGTATAGACACACATCTATATGGTGTTATGCTATAGTTTCCAACCTATTTTTCTACAATGTGCCTGAGCTCAGAAAACTGCAGGTGTTTGAGTCGTTACGTCACATGATAGCTCATCCATTATATATATGTAGTATCTTTTGCAGAGTCACAGGCGAGCATCAAGATGACTGTAAGATCAATGCTCTAAGTGTTGCTCCTGGGTCGGTTAGTAACTGTCGTGGATCAATCTCTCATTTTAAGCAGCAAGCTCTTTGTTAACTGGTTGATGCAGAGACCTCCCATTTGGATTCAGACCCAATTGAATATTAAATTACATATGAATAAACAAATTTACCAAAAAAGGGAGGAAATTGAGCCAAACTTTACCAAAAAGTTGAAAATGTGACCAAGAAGCCGAATCCTGACGCAGACAAAAGAGAGGAAGTTGAAAATGTGACCAAGAAGCCGAATCCTGACGTGGACAAATGTTGAAAAAGAGAGGAAGTTGAAAACTAATCAGATCTACAAGATTGTGCGAGTGAACTGATTCCTTATCACTTGTCATCTTCAGGTCTCAGACCGGTGCAATAAGTCCCACCCCCTACAATGCTGTCATTAGTCTAAACTTTGGGGGCAACCCGCTGCACTGCAACTGCGAGCTGCTGTGGTTACGGCGGCTGATCCGTGGAGACGACATGGAGACGTGTGCCACACCTCCTCACTTGGCTGGAAGGTAAAGGTTATCAATCTATCAATGGATTATCGCTGTCTAATCCACTAAGTCTTAGAATCAACTGTTTATCTTAATCCGTTTAATAAGGGAAGCCTTCCTCAATGTGAGAAGGAGCAAAGGAATCATTTGAAAGCTTAAATGATGTGTTGAGTCAAAATGAAAATAATCCATCAATGTTTCGTCACCTTATACCTGTCAAACATTTTCCTCAAGCTCGGTTTCAGCACATATCCAATTAAGGCCCTTACATTTTATGTCACCTTACTTGGATCATGACATTTGTAAGAATAAAACTGGAGGTTGAACTACAGACAGATAGGCTGTAAGGACTGAGGTTTGAAACCGTGCTGTGATATACAGTATCTGAAGCAATTATTCTGACACTTCAGACTATCAGTTTCTCTCTCCTAGAATTTGTCTGGTCTAACCCTCTAGTAAAAAGTATGCAGTGGGACCAAAAGGAAAATGAGCTTCTGTTACGCTCATCTGTCATCTCTGTCACCGTTAAATACCTTTTGCTCTGTGTTGTTTTTCTGCAGAGTAGCATGGGGAAATTGTTCAGACTATGGTGCGTCACTGAACTTAAATCTTAAATTGAAAGAATGATGGGCAATTGCACATAAATACATTTTATCTACCACATTTATCTGACAAAGCCAGATCAGAGATAGAAAAAAAGAAAAGGGTGATTCTGCTCTCCCTTTCTTTCTCATGCCTTCATCCCTCTTCCTCCCTTCATCCCTCAGGTATTTCTGGTCAATTCCTGAGGAGGAGTTCACTTGTGAACCACCTCTCATCACCCGTCACACCCACAAGCTTTGGGTCTTGGAGGGCCAGCGAGCCACACTAAAGTGCCGTGCCATTGGCGACCCTGAGCCAGTAGTCCACTGGGTTTCCCCAGATGACCGCATCATTGCCAACTCATCCCGGACCAGCTCCTTCAGTAATGGGACCTTGGATATGTTAGTAACTGTTGCCCGGGATGACGGAGCGTACACATGTATCGCAATAAATGCAGCAGGCGAAGCGACTGCTACTGTGGACCTGAAAATAATCCCCCTGCCTCACCGGGGAGGAGCAGGTGGAAGCACAGGGAATAACAACGTGAACAACAAGACCAACAGGAACGTGACCAATGGGATTTTACGTACTGATCCAGGATCCTCGGATATCAGCACAGGGAAAAATGGAGGGATTAACAATGGCGTGGGACGTGGAGGAGAGGTGGAACAAGGAAGAAGAGGTGGAGGGGAGGATGAAGACGGTGACAGCGGCAGGGCCGTTGAAGGAGAAAGAGTTGATGGAGGAAGCATGGAGGAGGATGACAGCGAAGAGGAGGAACTAAGGATGGTTGGAGTACAAGGGGTTACGTCAACCTCAGCTCAGGTTCGATGGGATTTGGGGAGTTTGTCTGCAGCTTACGTTGTCTGGATGTATCAGATACAGTACAACTGCACTGCAGACGAGACCCTCGTCTACAGGTCAGTGCAACTTTCTCTCTAAAACACTCACTGTGAATAATGGTTGCCATTCCACATCGGAAATATTACTTATACACTCGCTTAGATTGCCAACAGATAGGCCTACTGGTTATTATCTCATATTAATAGCTTCTCCTGTATCAGTCAGGTTCTTCTGCCCTGTTTTAATGCAGAGAGAGAATGACACTTCAGTCGTGCAAATGCTCATCCTTTGGATTGCTCAAGGGATGGATGAATGGGGAGATAGATGAAGGGGTAGAGGGGGGAAGGGAGTCAATAATTTATCTCCATCACTGTATGACACAAAAACCCAACAGATGAATAGGTGCATATCAAGGAGAGTAGAATGGGAGGACAAGTGGATAAACACTGAGGGAATAAAGGGGATTTGACTGAGAGATTTCAGATTTGCTACATATAACATCCAGAGGCAAGTATATAGTGTCTGACTCTAAGTGTATAAATATATCTGCAGCTACATTTAGTGACTCATATGTGCCACTATTAATGGGCGGTTTGCTGAAGCAACACAGGAACTTGATAGGATGTGTCATTTTTAATTTGGAGTAACATTTAAATCTTCAGTGAGCCATGTCATTTCCTATTTAAAGTGAGATCTCCTGGGCGTCCGTGTTTACCCACCATGCTCTCAGAGCCAGTGAAAATAATCAAACATTTATAAAGAGCAGATTTGAGGGTGAGGGCTGCAACATTTGTCTTGTTCCTACAAATTATTTAAGGAGACCCCTGCCACACCCTGCCTCGTACGTTTACGCTATATCTTTGGAAGAACATGAGGTGAGAAACTAACCTGCGTTCCTGAGAAAGTCTTTGTAAAAGCTGCCAATCAAATGTTTCTTCGCCTTACTGTGAGACAATGCTGTAATAGTAAAAGAAGAGAAGTAGTGCAGAGCCAAAAAGATAAGAAGAAATAAAAACTAAAAGTTTACAGGAGAACCCCCTCTTTTTTACATGACAAGTGACAGATCACATGTTCTTTTTTTGTGCTCACACTGTGAATCTCTGATACCCATAAACTAACAATTGAAATATCAACAGAAACATTGGCTGGCATGTAAAGTCTGACTGAAGAGAATGAAAATGGAGGGAATGAGGCAAACATGAAGAAATAAGATGAATAGACAGGAGTCTTCTCTTGTACAATATGAGAGAGTGTCTCAGAAATGTCAGCTTCCTAATGCTAACGTTCTAACAATATCACTGCACCTCACATAAATTATGCCTGCATGCATTCAGAATTTACTGCCTCTGTATTCACAACCAGAGTCTGATGAAACGTGTGTGTGGTTGTTGCAAAACAGTGGGTGAAACAGTGACAGTGAGATGAGAAAAGACGAGGAGAGGTCTGCATTATCTGCCGGTCTGTTTTCGATTTCATTCTGCACTGAGCTTGAATGTGGTTTGGTTAAGGTATTATTAAGATGGTGGAAAGGTGCAAGTGGTATTGGGAAAGGGAGCTAACTATATGAAAGGAAGAGAACAGTGAAGATAGACAGATGGAGAGATGATTGAAAACATGAAAAACTTCTGCCTATAATCAGAAGGATTCAAGGAAAGTACAGAAAATGGCAGCCAAGGGTGAAAAGAAAAAATGATGGATTGGGAGGAGAAACTAATAGTTTGAGTGATGGATGGAGCCAGAGATGAAGAGCGGGTGAATTTTACGATGGGAACGAGGGCCTCAGAGATTTTCAGGAGGTGGAGGAGGAAGGGGAAAGATAGGAAATGGGTTCTTCTACCCAAATCACCATGAGAGAGATTGAGATTAAAGAAGGATGGATGAAAGGAGAGAGACAGACGACAGTATGGAGGACAAGGAGGTTGGGCCAAAATAGTTTTTAAGGGAAAAACAAGGAAATAAGGGGTGCAGAGAGAGAGAGGGGGGTGGTATTTAAATGCATCACTGCAATATTGAGGGGGAAAATATTTGTGTACACAACAGAAATACACCTGGGTATGAAAGAAAAAGGGAGAGAGTGGTAGCTGCGAGGACTAATGTGATGAAAGAGAAAAAGGTGAGAGAGGATGAGGCCTAAACATTTTGGGAAAACAAATAAATAGAAGTCCTTTGAAACAATGTACAAAAAGGAAGACACAAGGGAGGGGGAGGATGAGGAAACGGACACAAGGACGCACAGTGAATACAACAAGTGCATGCAGCCCACCCCTGGAGAGGGTGGATGAAAGGATGGAGGTGAGGAGGTGTCCCATTTAAAATGCCACATCAAACCTGATGAGTGCAGATTCTGTACAGTCCCTTGACATATTTGTGGCAATTACACATGGAGAACTAATTAAATGATTGGATTGAATGGAGTGAGTTAGATCTAAGCTCCCTCGCTGTTGCATGGCTTCCTCTATGAAAAATATTCTGATAGGGGAACAGACTGGCTACTTGTTTGGCTTATAGCATATGATGCATCTATAAGTTCAGAGATGCAAAATAATAAGGATGCTTGAACTAATCATTTAAAGTAGCAACAAAACCTGACAACCAGAAATTGATGCAGACAGTATTTGTTGCAGGGTTATGCATTAAAACTGTACAGCTGTTTCTCGTGTAACTTGAAATCCCAGTTGCCCACATGGCTAAATCTTGCGCTCAAAAACAAAAGGACACACTGTCAAAATGCCCTTCTCTGGGGGAACAAACTTTGAGATAAAGAAACGGCAGCATCAGCAGAGGTGGAGGCTCAGCTTTGCAGCTCCAGACAAGAAAATGCTGCCAGACACAAAGAGAAGGAAAAAAATAGACAGAGCCAAAGCAACCAGTGCCACAGGAGGGGGGTAAGTGATCTGAAGTTTGACTTAACTAAACAAATCTCACAGCCGTCCAAAAAGAAGGGTGGGGATAGCTGTCTCAAAGGAGAGATAGAGATGTTGTGGTTATTCTGGAAACCGAAATACAAAAAAAGAAAGAGGTTCAAAGAGGAGACGAGAAGTGTGAGTGATCTGAGGAAGGAAGCAGGGAAATCATTCCCAGAGGACAGATAAAGGGGAAATGGAAGGGGGCAGCATTTGAAAAGGAGGCATAGCCACAATGCAGTCAGGGATTTTCCAGTATAGATCTCTATCGTTTTGCCAACCACACCAGTCAGAAAGAGGAGAGACTCGGCCAAAGGGAGTCTTGCTTATGAATTTGAAAGGAGAGAATGGAGAAGCAGGTTTTATTCTCTCTATCAGGAATTTGTGTTCATATTTTTGGGCTTGTTGCAGCTGCTGTACGTGTATTTAGGAGTTGGAGAAAAGATATCGCCCCAATGAACAGAGCTGAGGAGGGAGGGAGGGTTCAACAGAATGGAAAGCAAGGAAAGAACAGAGGAGCACAAAGCCTCCAACTGACTAAAAGTGAGCTACATAGTTAGACACTGGTGTATAGCATTTATACTGATTTAAGAACAGCAGCATATTGTGTGGCTGCTGAATTCAATCATGTTAAAATGTCAGTCACATGTGAGACAACACCAGCTTTCATTTTAACGAGGCTCATCTAAATCGGATGGCGTCTGTGACAATGCCAGGTGGGATGTCATCCATGTGACATCCACTGACCCTCAGGCTCTCTGACGCCAACTTCACTTCCTTCCTAGAGCGTTGGCTGAATGTTACAATGCCACAGTTCTTTTTAATCGTAGGGAATAGACTTGTTAAATGGCGTTCAGGCATTCTGCAAATTCTCAAATAACCAAGGATTTCCTGAGTTTGCTGGGTGAATGTGGGAACTGACCAAACTGGCATGTTTGTCCACGCCCACATGTGGGTACCTGAAGGACAAAGAAAAGGAGAAAGAATGCCCCTCCATATTAATGAGGCAGTATTTGTACAGCGACCTCTGCGGTACCATCTGTTAGAAAAATCACCTCGCCTTTTCAGCAATATTCCAATTTTGTGCTACAATTTCACTTTCACTGGACCATGCACAGAGGCCTGAGCCTCCAGAGAACAGACATGTACTGGAACAAAGCCCATCATCTATGTGCATATAGATAATAGACAAATTTCATCTGTGGAGTTGAGTTGTCAACTCTCTGGCGGCCTCAAAAATCATCGAACATGAAGTCAATTGTGCACAACAAGCAATCAGCATTATTTGTTCGGGTGTTTTAATGGAATTGTGTTACATTGTGCAGCGTCGGTGTTATTGAGCCCAACCCTGTTTGGAGAGAAAAAGTGAAATACATTATTGAGTAAGTTTAAGTTATATAAGCTGTAGTTTGTTGCTTTCTATTGTGCTTCTGGTGTTTTAGGAGCAACACTGGCAATCTGTTGGGGTAGAAGTTACTTTATGAATCACCGCTGCACAAGGTACGCCAGTGGGGGCATTTTGTACACGACAGGGCCAAGTTTCGTATTAGGTTCAGATGTCCTCTAAAGTGTGCAGGCGGCAGGAGTGCAAGAGCTTTGACAAATTTCACAATTTTGCTGCAGTCACAACAGGACCAACCTTCCTGCTGGGCACTCAAAGAGTCAAGTTTGGCACCGAATTTAATGGGACCAGAAACAATCGCATGGGGACAAAGAGAGGAGGACGTTGGAAAGAGAATCATGCAGAGTTTAAGAAAATAATGAGAATTATAATAAAAGTGGAGTCACAGTAAAGTAAAAAGGGAAGGGATGAGAGTTTGACAGTCAAAAGCAGCTCGCTAAGAAATAGACAGATGAGAGCAGGGGTTGTGTGTCAAAGAAATGAAAGGATACATGTAGAACCTGAAAATTAGGTGTATGGTAAAACCACTAATTTACTGACACTAATTATATAGCATATTTGACAGAGCACTGAATCAATATATAAATACATCTAAAAACACTGTGGTTCGCTGTGTGAACGATTTTCTTTTACTGTAGAAATCAAACATCCAGAGAAACATCCTTTCATTTTCTGTCATGTTTTGTACAATATGATATAGCTGGGGTGAAATGATACCAGAAGCTTCTTTTAGCCTGGTATGAGCCTGGTAACTAATACAAGAAATCATACA